TTCTGCGAGAATAGGGGCAGCAAGTCGAAGGGCAACACCAATGCGGGTTTGTCTGTGGGTCGAAACGTGTGCCAAGGCTGGAGTTAGGAACAGTCAGCAGAAAGTCCCCTGCATGAGGAGCTCTCACTGCCAGGAGACGGGTTCTATCCTTCCCTGACACACTCTGAAGCATTGTCGAGGCTATATTCTCCACTATTGGACCATCCTAGTGCGACTGTTTGTAGTTGTTGGGGGAGCAGGTCTTGTTTCAGAGCCCGTTAGATTATCCCAGATCATGGCTCCGTCAATGAACTTTTGGTCCTGGACTCCAATCTTGTCCCTAAGATATTTAGAGAGAATCGCTGCTACAAGCCCTCTGGATGCTATGCATGAGGACAGAAAAGCAGGTAGCACAATCTGTGATGACTTGCGGACACCAATGCCTCCTACTCTGACTGGAAGTGTAGCTTGGTTTCACTGCCTGTCTTCTAGAGTAAGGTTAAGTACTTTCATGAAAAGCTGCCTCAGGATACTGTCATATTCGTGCAGTATAGGTTTATCACATGAAGGTGCATATCTTAGGAAATATGTCACCTGGGCAGACTCAAGCACTTTGTGAGAAGGTGCAAGGCATCGTGGGTGTCAAGATTACCTATTCGTTGTTCCATTCTCTTCAACTCTTCTAATTTCTTCCTGAAAATTGTGTCAATGGCATCGCTTCCCAGAGGCGTTCAAAGCAAGACACTATATGTAGGGGCAATGACTGCTGCTCCTGGTTGTTTGGATCTCACTGCATTTATCACTTGTTGACTGACTGAGATGATTTCACATTTGGATGGATTCAGGATGAGACCCATTTCCTGTCCCCATGTCATCACCTGTGTAAGATCATCTAGGAGCGACTCCTTTGTACCTGCTAGTGTGCCATCGTCCAGGAACCAGATGTTTAGCTTACAGGTCAGTCTGACTGTGATTTCCCTAACTGCTATACAGAAAAGAAATAGTGCAAGAGGATCCCCTTTGCTGGACACCCTCCGATGATGTGATTTCATGCTCTCCAAAGAGGATCACTGATTCTTTGCTATATCCAGCAGAAACAAAGGGAAAGACACCAGAGAAATGTTCTTGTACCGCTCCTAATACATCTCTTTTTACGAGATTAAATGCATTCTTGAAGTCTAACTTTACCACTGCATTGTCCTCAGGCAGGTTGTTGATATACGCTCTTGATGCATGAACCGCTGCTTCACTTCCTTGAGAGACCCCAAAGCCAAGCTGGTTTAGTTGAAGTATCATGGCTGCCTCTGCGCGAATGCTTCGGACAGCAGCTTTGGAAACGAGGCGGTGAAAAGTGGTGCCCACTGCAATACGCCAAATTTCTCCATCCTTCTCTTTAAGTGCACCAAAAAGAAAGGTTTAATGTCGTCAGGAATTCTGACTTGAAAAAGTTGTACAACTTTTTGAAAAAGTTGTACAACTTTTTCAAGTGAGAATTGTTTGATCTGAGAGGGACATGACTTCTCAGTGGCTACATTCTCACTACTACTACTCTGCACCTCTCCTTCCGACAGTATTAAGTCTCAACACTGTCGCTTGATCTTCAGTTAGTTCCAGACTATGGAACATAACTTCTCCAGGGTGAGAGACTGACAACCTAAATTCTACGACTTAAAGGGTGATGAACTGATTACATCGTCTTCACATCTCTACTGTTCCTGCCTACTTTCTGTACTCGGTTGAAGAATAAAGTTGCCTAAATGTTGCCTATGTGTTTTATCTGCCAAGATATTGTCTGATAAGATGAGATCTGCTGGAGTGGGTTCAGGTGCCTGAGGTGGCTCTGGATTATCACTTTCCACAGGAGGACATCCTGAACCAGGGCAACTACCGTGTTTGCGGAGGAAACCATTAGAGTTGGAACAACGAAGCTGTAAGCATGACCAACACTTGCCTCTCATGGTAGTGCCAGCCGTGCCATTTCCCTGGCTGCTTTTTTCCTCCTGGTTGGCATCCATCTACCTAGACTAGACTGTAGGAGTGGAGTACGACATTCTGAGTGGGTATGGTGCGTGGAAGGTAGTGAACTTGACCGTGGTGGAGTTTGAGGGGCTGGCGAGGGGCTTGGAGGGGAAGGGGAAAACTGCTGCTGGGAACCGGGTGGGGGAGGCGCAGGTTGTTGGTTGGGGTTAGCCCGGGGAGAGGGATGAGGGGAGTGCAATACATATAAATTTGCACACTATGTATATTATTCACACTGTCTTACAATACACACTACATTATTGTTTCCCATATATATATATATATATATATAATATATATTATATATATATATATTATATAATATATATATATATATATATATATATATAAATATATATATATAATATTTATATATATATATATATATATATATATATATTATATATATATATATATATATATATATATATATATAATATATATAAATATATATATATATATTAACACACTGGCCGATTCCCACCAAGGCAGGGTGGCCCGAAAAAGAAAAACTTTCATCATCATTCACTCCATCACCATCTTACCAGAGGTGCTTTACACTACAGTTTATAAAACTGCAACATTAACACCTCTCCTTCAGAGTGCAGACACTGTACTTCCCATCTCCAGGACTCAAGTCCAGGAGGTACCGCCTCTGGAGCTGCCCTGGGGACCCTCATCCTCAGAGAAAAGAATAAACTTGCTTCAGGGAAAACTCAAGGTTCTCCCTGAAGCTGTTTAAAAAAAATTCTCCTACCACCCCTTTTATTTAATATATATTGTATTTAAAGACAAAATACATTGACAAAATATATAGACAAAAATACAATAGGGAGTAAAACAACATAGAGAACAACACAGTGCTACATCTCGAATACTTCGTCCAGCTCCCCGGCGGTGGGCCGCGTGCTCAGAATGCTGCAGGCATTTTCCCTCTGGATCGCAACATTGAGTCTCCGAAAGAGGAAGCTGGCCGCCCTGTGATCCTTGGTTTCTATGATGAGTTTTTCACCCAGCTCTTTGAGGAACTTCAGAGCACACTTGCCTCATGCTCCAAGGGTCTCCGGCCCTATTGGGTTAAAGTTATAGCAAGCGGTAAGGCTTTCATGTTTGCGGGTCTCCCTGTGGCTGGCAGCTCCACCCACTTTCAGCTACGGAGTATGGCAAACAGGTGTCAGCCAATGCGGCGGCACAGGTGTAATCCCAGGCAATCTGCTTTCCATCCTTCCATGGTAGCATAGAGGCTCCATCAGGACGCTTTTGACTTCTGTCAGACCTCTGCACTTGGGGTTCCTGTTGAGCTGGGCAACGGTCTGTGGCGAGGCTTCTCTTTGTGATGTCGTTGACCTCCTCATGTCTGGCATACTTCCCTTCTGATGTGTGACACACGAGACCATGAAGTCCGAATTGATCAGCCGTCACCCTGCCGCAAATACACCTATGTTCGGTGAGGATGGGGGCGGCTAGGCAAAGAGCAACATCAATCCGATTGGCCTGTGGGTCGAGTCGAGTGCCCAGGGAGGAATTGGGAACAGCTTAAAGGAAATCTCCTGAGTGTGGTGCATTCACCGCTAGGAGACGAGCTTTGCCCTCTCCTGAAGCGCTAGTAAGCATTGCGTTAGGTGATTTTTTCCATGATCTGTTTGTCCCAGTGGGACTGTCTGTGCTCGCTGGGAGGAACTGGTCTACTGGAGGAGTCTGCAAGGGTGTCCCACCGCATCATTGCTTCAGTAAACCTGGGGTCTTGAGCTCCTACCACGTCTCTCAAGCATTGGGAGAGAGAGAGAAAGAGAGTGTGTATGTATCTGTCTGTGCTTGTTTCTGTGTCTGTGTGTATTTAAGCACATGCATATGTATATACATTTGCACACGAGCTTAAATACTCACGAATATATGTAGAATTATACATCTGCACACACACACATATAGAAAAAATTACATATACCATAAACAAATAAAAATACCTATGTATACATACACCCACAAAGAAAGAACACTTGCAAAAATTCATGCCCTCAAACAAAAGTATACATGTTCATATATTTTGATGTATTGCAGTTTCATGACACCCTCCACTATTCTTTTTGAATACATTGAGGTAGAAGAGGCTGGGCTTATGGAATACAGGGATACCTTTCTTGCATAGAGAAAAAGTGGTATTTTAATGACCTTAAACTAGACGTATTTATGACGAGAAATATTTTAACCATCTTCCTATTGAAATAAAGAAGATTAAGAAGTATTACGAGACCCAGGGGAAGGTGAAGGAGAATATCCACTTAATATAAAGAAATCTGAAAGCTTTTCAAGTCTTCTTGCATATTAATGAGACTGAAAGAAAACACCAACAATCATGTTTACCAAGTTTATGAATCGCATTTAGAAGGTAGGAGGTAAGTGTTTGCATAGAAGATAGCAGTTTATCACACGTTCCTGTTCCTTCACACTGAAGTTTTCCCTCCTTTCTCCTCTGGAAAGTTTACCCAGGATTCCTTCCTTTAGCCTGAGCTTTTCACAAAACTTCGGAATGGATCTATCACAGTGTGTCTGTGTCTTCCCAGTAGCGGTGCCACACACCAATCCTTACTCAAGTTTTTATTAAATAAATATCACAATCTCTCAGTCAAGAGGTGTGGGCAACTCGCCTTTTTATATTGTGACCCTCCCACTAGTAATCATATTCTGATTTTTCTGTTGTCTCCTCCTCACTAGTAACCGATAATCTGATATCTTTATTTCATCTTTACCCATCATCCTTCCCCATTTCTCTTCCCTCCACTTCTTGTCACACTCTTATGTTGACCAGTGTAACCTTCGCTAGGCTCCACATGAAGTTCTCGCACCTGAGTTTCCACTATAAGCAAAGGCCCCTTAACACCGATACAGCAGCCGACCGTCTTTCTCAGGATTCTTACATCTGAGATCCCCCCCATCCCCCCGAGGCAGGACCAGATTTGACCCAACCTCTGCAACCACATAAAACACACACACACACACAGTACCTTGGCTGACGAAGACATGAACCACCGCAGGTTGGGTGTTGGGAGCCACGCAGGTGTAGTTGCCTGAGTCCTTAGTGACAGCGTTGGCTATCACCAGACGTGAGGATGTCTTAGTGCCGTAGTCTATCGTGACGGTGACACCGCCCCTCTCAGTGTCGTAGTTGAGCAAACGATCGTTGTGCTTCCAGTACACCACGTGTGGAGGGATGGGTGTCTGCCAACCACAAGAAAAACAAGAGAATCAGTGTTTGGTAAGGTAGAGAGATGCAAACAAGTTTGGTAGAACAAATGTAGTTACTACGTCGTATGAGTTTTACTACTACGACTAAATTTATTATTATCACTATTATTATTATTATTATTATTATTATTATTATTATTATTATTATTATTATTATTATTATTATTATTATTATTATTATTATTTTCATTACCATTATTATTATTTTCATTACCATTATTATTAATTTCATTACTATTATTCTTATTTGTTTCATTAGTATTTTAATTACGATACATGTAAAGATGTGTGGGACACAAGATATAATGAGCGGTGGGGGCTACACCTCACCTTCCTGTATACAGGAGAACCCCGCTTGTACAGCAGGTTAGGTTCCGAGCTACTGCTGTAAAGCGAATTCGTTGTAAATTGAAACATGGCCTTTTTCTCATTTTCAAATGCATATATAAGACTAATAACTTGTCTACACTATCATATATTAATTGAACAACAGAGCTAGGCTTAAATATTGCATACGCAGTACACACATTACGTACCTTAATAAAATATTTTTGTCCTGAGCTGATAGTGAGTGGAGAATATATTTACTGTAAATCTGAATTAGTGGAGAATGGGAATAATTGAAAACCGCTGCATTAGCGATACGCCGTAAAGTGAAGCACTGTAAAGTGGGGGCCCACTTGTAGTTTGATGTAATCAGTCTGTCGTTCTAGGCGCAAGATAATTAGTTTCTTAGCCTGAGACAGTAGCATGTGACCTCACTAGCAGCCTGCAGGTGAGGTCACCGGTGAGCTAGACGCTCCTAGTATTCGATTGTGGAAGCCTGCTACACAGACGAAACTTTTCGTCAGTAAATATTCCTAGTGATGTATATTTGTCTTACTTATCATATAGAGAGATTTTTAACTGTTCTAGTACCGATGATTGTGGAACCCTCACTCTCCTCACCTGCCCTGTGGAGTACCACTGCTTACCAGATATACACTGGATATTCACTCAAAAGTCCGAGTGTATATCCAGATGTTAACTATCCCATAAATGGGTAAGACTTTGTAAAACTTGAAGCAGACTCCACCCACACAAACTGGACTCTGAGATCTGAACGTCACATTTAACACGTGACCTACAAAAGAAAAAAAGTATCGAATCTCCCTGACCTGATGCAAGTTACTTACTATTAGAAATAATTTCCGTAGACAAATGAAACAAGAGCGTTCGTGGCACGGCAATCAGAGACCGTGGGAAGTAAAAAGAAGACTGCGACAGAAGCTCCGATGAAGTTGGAAGACTTGAGGGAACGTGACTTGGTTAAGTTTGACCTCATCACAGCGTTTCATGTGTTGTTGGCAACGCTATTTGAGAACTTTCTGTGACCAACTCCCTTCTTCCCGCTTTTATTACATTTCGATTATGGTTTAGAGTTGTTTAATGTAATTAATAATAATATTAATAATAATAATAATAATAATAATAATAATAATAATAATAATAATAATAATAATAATAATAATAATAATAATAATAATAATAATGAAAATAATAAAAATTATAATTATAATATTTTTAATAAAAATAGCAATCTAACATATTACGAGAAATAACAGCAAAACAGAACTGTCTTTAATTGTCAACACAGTGACCATGAATGACTTTACACTTATTATTACGTTCATGAAGTTTTTCTCTTTCAACAGAAAAAATTGTTGCTCTTTAAACACTTTTTTGTAGTTGATTTGAGCTCATGATCATCCACGTAACGCGTCTCGTACATGTGCAACTACTGTTTGGGAAACAGGTGAAGGTCACACGGATCCGGATCTGTGGAAGAGGGTGGGTGCCACATCATCTTGAATCCAGAGTCTTGCAGATTCGGATCGCCTTTGGAACCCTTGAGGGGAGAGCATTGTTGAGAAGCAGGAAGTGTGCAATCGACAGTTTTCCTTGAAATATTTCACTGAGTGACTTTCACAGACGCCTAAGCAAATCAGTGCAACATTCACCCATGGATCTAGCAGGCATATAACGTGATTTCGAATACTCGCTCTGCATCGTTGAAAATTGTGGGCATGATCCTGAGCGCAATTTGTTGCACTACGAATTTTATTGGTGTCAAGAACTGGTGTGTTTCTACTGCTTTGAGAGTTGCTTGGGCTTCTTTACCTATTACAGACAGCAGCTAATTTTTTTTTCACTCCAGATTCATCACATCAAGAATCTCGTCCCAACATCGCTTCCGGTTTCTCTTCATTTCCGGAGTCGACATTTTCAGTCCTATGATCACTAACTTATCTCACAGAAAAGTCAGTGAATATATTCACCTGAGCTTTAACTAATCCCAAGAGTGTTCACTGTCTGAGGTACCGTCACAATTTACTGGACGACCTCAATGTATTCCTGCTCAATCTACATTGAAAGCTTGACCCACCTGGGGTCGTCCTCGCCAGATTTCCTACCATGAAAAAATCCTGCAGCCGACCTGGTGACTATGGAATATGATGTAGACTGGTCGTGGTACACGTTGGTCATGCCAGCGTGAATATGATGTAGACTGGTCGTGGTACACGTTGGTCAT